CGTATATTTTTAGCTCCTTTGTCAAAGATAAGTTGCTTATAGTTGTGTGGCTTCATATCTGGATCCTCTATTCTGTTCCACTGGTCTTCATGTATGACATATTTTCATGTGTTGGTGTTCATCATGTGGGCATAGTGGGGACACAGGAGGCAGGACCGACCTTCAGGAATCCTTCCTTCCAGCCTTGGGAAATGTGTTCCCCGAGACTGTGGGTTTGTGAGGAATGAAGGTTACCAAAGGCAAGTGGAAGTTGAAGTCCTTTTCCCCTCAAATCTGACCTACAGTTGCGGAAGGGGACTTGCAACAGGAAACCACAGGACAAAATGAGGGCAGTGAGAGGGGCCATAGGCCACTGGCTTGTGGGTTTGCTGTAGGAAGATTTCCTAGGCCCCTAGGGAAGATTAAGACATAACGGGCCTGACCCCTTCCATGGGAAGGTTCTGGAAGTCTGAGGGGTTGGAGTCCATGCACTGAGTGGGCTGAACAGCGTGCAAGTTCCTGAGGAAGAGCAGGGCAGGATGCTGGTGGGGGTGGGGCAAGACCATGCAGGAAACTCTGAGGCTTGCTGGTAGCCTGGGAAGTGTGTGTGCTGAGCTGGAGGGTGGGTCTTTGGCTTAACCTAGAGTCTCCACTACCTCCCAGTCCAGGAAGATGGTAGACAGGCTTATTGAGGTAGAATGCAGGTCCTGGCACCTTGGGCAACACCAGCATCAGCCATCTTTCTCCTCCATCTCTGCAGGGGGCGGAGGAAAGCGCAAAGGGAAAAGCAAGAAGTGGAAAGAAATCCTAAAGTTCCCTCACATCAGCCAGTGTGAAGACCTCCGAAGGACCATAGGTAAGCCAACCCAATCACCTTTGGGTGTGGGAGCCAGGAGCAGCTAAGGTCTTCTGGGAGGAGCCTGGCTTACAAAACCCATTCTTGGTAAGCCGTTTGCTTCTAGACTGTGTCTCAAACCAGCTGCAGGTGTCTGCTGGTACAATGCTGCATGGTAAAATGAGTCAGAGTTAAGTCTGAAGGGTACCTCCTCAGAGAAGCCTTCCCTGATCCCTGAATATAAATTAGTTCAGAGTATCCAGTCCTCTACTGCCCAAGCTCTCCTTTGACTGTTGTTTGTTCTCTGTTTCTCCCGCAAGTGTGAAAGACTCATCACAAAGGGACTGGATCTTTTAAACTCACCACTGTCTATTTGGCACCTGGTTTACAAAAGGGGCATGATAAGTGTTAGTTGGATGAACGAATGAAGGAAAGAATGGGTAAAGAAATGTAAATGAACATAGAGCTCATATAGGGCCTCTGATGGAAGATTATTAAGACTAATATACAGAGTAGTCATGTAATCTGCCATCCAGATTAATGAAATCTTAATATCTGGGTATATATATATATATATATATATATATATTGTTTTTCGTTTGTTTTGGTGGTACTGAGGTTTGACAGGGTCTTGCAGTTGTTACGCAGGTGCTCTCCCACGTGAGCCTGTTCCCAGCCCTTTTGCTCTGGTGATTTTAAGATCAAGTCGTGCTTTTTGCCCAGGCCAGGTTGGACTATACTCCTCCTATTTAGGCTTTCTGCAGTAGCTAGGATGATAGGTGCATGCCACAACACCCAGCTTTTATTGGTTAAGATGGAATCTCGTGAATTTTTTGCTTTGTCTGACCTCAAACTGCAATCCTCCCAATTTCCATTTATTGAGTAGCTAGGATTACAGGTTTGAGCCACTGCACCCAGCTTATGTGTTTCTTAAACATGGAAAACATAAAAAATATGAAATATAGGACTTCTGGTGCCAGACAAGAGGAGTTCCTTGTCCTTTCAGCTAAGGGGATTTGAAAACCTTGGACAGTCTATGTAAAACAAATATAGAAGACTCCAAAGGCAGATTGTTGGGGACCTTGGGATCTGAGAAATAATACTACAGAGAGTTCCCTGAGTTTTCTTTTTAGCCTCTCTTATGTCCTGGATTGGGTCCTAGAGAAACTCAACACCTGAATTGGTAGTAGGTACATACAAAAAGGCCCTCATCCCCACACACCAAAAACAAGGGCAACCCATTTTCTGTAGCTAGAGGCCCTGGAAAGGGGCAGCCAGCTGAGCTGGGAAGCTGTGGGCACAGTGGGCCACTCCAGATCTGCTGCTTCCCCTACACCCCCAAATGGTACACCTTGACCTTCTCACTTAGTTTGCCTTAGTCAGCTCAGGCTGCTGTTACATGTTACCTAGGTTGGTGGCTTAAGCAACAAACATTTACTTCTCGCAGTGTTCTGGAGGCTGGAAGTCTAAGATCAAGGCCCACTTCTTCCTGGTTTGCAGATGGCTTCATTGTGACCTTGTAAATGGTGTTTTGCTTGGTTGTTTTTTTGTTTTGTTTCATTTTTTGGTGGGACTAGGGTTTGAGCTCAGGGCCTCAGCTTCCCAGGCAGGTGCTCAACTACTTGAGCTACATCCCTAGCCCCACTGTGACCTTGTATAGCAGAGAGCAGCAGTCTTGCTCATAGCTCTTTACTTAATCCCATTTATGAGAGCTCATGACCAAATCCCCTCCTAATACCATCACATTTGGGGTTAGGCTTAAATGTGTTTAGATTGGGGAGGACACAGATATTCAATCCATAGCACCATTCTGGATTCAAAGACCCACTGAACCCTTCCTTTCCTTTTCTCTCCTCTGAGGGAGAAGCTTGTACCACCTTGAGGGGATCTATCCCTGCCAAGGCTCTATGCCCCGCCCATCCCCTCCTTCCAAGTCCAGATGCTCAGATGCCCTCATTATGACCCTTTTCCCCAGGGGCTTCTAGGCATTCCACAGATCACCTGAATGTCCTTTGCCTTCTATTGCCCTCCCTAACCTGTTCATTTCTGATTTGGGGACCTGTGAGCACAAGATTCAACTCTAAGCTTCTCTTGTCCACGGACCCCTCCCATCTTGGTCCATCAATGGGCCTCTTGGCAGGCCCACGCCCCTGGGAGGTGAGAACCATGTGAACTGTGTGCTGGTGTGTGGGAGCGATGCTCTGTCCTCCTAGAGTGTGTTGAAAAGACTCTGTGTATGCGTGCAGTGTTAAGAGAGGCTTGGCAAAAACAGGAAAGCCCGTGGAAACTGAGGGACTGCTACACATGGGCCAGGGCCCAAGGCTTGGGCCTTCCTG